CTGGGTGACAGTGCGAGACTCCGTCTCAAAAAACAAACAAACAACAAAAACTCAGGGCCCTTACTATTAAAGAAGAAAAGATGGTAAACATCAGGGAACAATAAGCAGTCTTTGCATCTGCCCACACGTAGATTCTCTTTTCTGTAGGCCAGCCTTCTCTGTTCATAGACCCCTCACATTTTCTAGGGTGGCTGTGATGTCACTTTTGGCCCAATTCCACAGGTCTATTCAGTTCCTAAGCAGGCAGCACACGGTGTAGCCAGCTAAGCTTCTGAGTCTCAAGTCCAAATTCTTAGAAGACAACTTTTGATTGGTTCTGCTTGAGTCAGATGATCACCTCCTTAACTCTGAACCAATCATCTGTGGCAGGGATCTCCCTTCTAGGATAGCATGGAGCAAGTTCTCTAAGAAAGAGATGTAAGTGGGAAGAAGTGACAGCTATCTGTTAAGTCCTCCTTCTGAGCTTACCCCATTACAACACCCATTCTGCTGGATGTAGTTGTCAGGTGCTTGTCCTTAGGGCAGGAATGCATTCTCTTTGTGTCTTTAACTAAGAGCCTAGCAACTACCTGGCACACTCGCTATTTGATATAAAATGAGTAATCTAGTTTTATCCTCAGTTTCACAGAGGTTGAATACCTGCCTAAAGTTATATAGTTAAGAGGTTGGGCATGGTAGCTCATGCCTATAATCCCAGCAATTTGGGAGGCTGAGGCGGGAGGTTCACTTGAAGTCAGGGGTTTGAGACCAGCCTGGGCAACATAAGGACATTTCATCTCTACTAAAAATAAAAAAATTAGCTGGGCATGGTGGCACATACCTGTAGTCCCAGCTACTCGGAAGGCAGTGATGGGAGGACTCCTTGAGCCTGGGAGGTCGAGGCTATGATGAGCAGTGAGCTGTGATCCCACCACTGCACTCCAGCCTGGGCATCAGAGAGAGACTCTGTTTCAAAAAAAAAAAAATAATTAGGTATCACAAAGTGAGTAAAGGGAAGAAGCAGCCACCATCCTTTCACTGGAGGAAAAAGGAAAAAGTTGAAAGGATT